ATAAAGTTATGTAAGATATCCTTATGATCTGCCAGTTCCTCGTGAGGACAGAATTGGGTACTATGTACATTTAAGAAACAGGAGTATTTGCTCCAGAATGATAGTTCATTTAGCTTTTAAGTGCTTTATGTATGTGATAATGGCAGATCTTTAAATTAGTTATCAGGATTAGTTCTGTCTTTATTCAAACAAAGTTGTATGCAGAAACAGAAGAGAGTGATTTGAGAGACACTTGGGTTTGAACATAAAAGGGTATGACTTTTGGGTACTAAGCACATGCACTGAAGCTAGGTCTTCCACCTGGAACACCGCCATGATCATTAAGGTGGTGACCCAGGAGACATTAACTATGGGCCTAAGGAAAAATAACAGTTCCTTAAGGACTCAGTGTGGGGAGAGAGAGTGGTCCCAGGCTCAGCCCACTTTGATCTAGTGCCTTGTCTTCAAGAAGATGTTGCTGCACCCATGGGAGGGGAAGGCAAGTGCATGGAGGCACACCTCATGCCCGCCAGCAGCACTGCATGCCTGGGGTGTGCCCACAGTACCGGAGCTGGCGAAGACCCAAATCCAAAATAAGGCCCAGGTAGGTCCAAAAATCCTGCCCAACCAGGGGTGCTTTGAGACTGCAGCCAAACTGCTCTCAGGATTCAAAGCGATGCCTATAGTGGATGATTAAAACTCGGTCCAATCTCGTAGCTACTCATATATTGGTTCTCAACTGAGTTACAAACTGCCCTCTGCTAGTAGGTAGGTGTGTTAGGGATACAGATCTCAGTCAGCTTGTGCAGGATTCCTCCCAAAAGTTTTTGAATCTGCAAGACAGACAATGTTTTGGCAGATGTTCAAGATGTGTGTGTGTGTGATATTTATTTCCATATCTTGAGTTGTACTGTCGTGTGAAACTTCTGTCAAGACATTAGTATATGTCAAATTTTAAGTCAAGTGATTTAAATTTCTGTTGTACTTGTTTATTCTACTGATATTTTTTTCCTCCTCTGGAGGAAAAATGCAGGCTAAAAACAAATGTAAAAGTTCTCATACAGAGAACTGTATCCAGTTAGTTTCCAGAGCTATTCATACCCTTCGCATCAGTTGAGGATTAAGTACAGCTGACAGGGATGGAAGAGTAGCTTCAAACAGGCAACAGTTTAGACTGATGCAGGAGATTCTGCAATTTGACAGTCTGTGAGCTAAGGAGGTTTTGAGGGGAAGGATGACAGGCTTGACCCCTATGTACTGTCAGCAGTACAGCTTACCATAAACCCTGCCCTTATGGTATTTTGTTAGTTTTGCAGCTCAGAAGGTGAAGTAGATGTGTTTGGTTTTTTTCTGGTGTAAGGTCACCTTTTCCTTCCGCAGAACAGCAAGGGTAGTTGTATCCATGACCTTTTGCTGGCTTGGGCTTCTGATCACTTTACTAGTCTTTTGAAGGATGTAATTTTGGCCAGTCTTCGTGAACGAAGATTTGGGGAAAGGTCTTTTTACCTTTCCAGCCTGCGCAATGGATTTTTTAGGTGAGACACAGCCTGCGCTGAACTGAGCCCACCCTTTAATCCTAAGGTTCATCTGCCGGGGCCAAGCAAGCTTGGACAATGGCAATGAAGTCCTCAGGACGTAGGTTTGTTTAGAGTGACCTTCTCATAGATGGATGGCCACACAGGGCTAACGGGCTCCATCTGCCCGGGGGACTGGCTGGGATTTGAACCTGGGTCGCAGCGGTGAGAGTCCTGCATGCTAACCACTAGGCCACCAGGGGTCCCCTTTGAAGGATGTAATAAAACTAAAATAAATATCAAGCTGAAAGCAATGAAATTATTTGGACAAGGAGAGATGTGCATTTTCAAAATGTTGGGCAGTAATCAAATAAAAACTGGAAAGCTAACTTTGGAGTAGTTTTCAGTTCTTGCAGTTGAAAGGAACCTCCAGAAACAACGTCACCCATAACCTGGTGTCACGTTCTGCTTTAATATGTCTGTGGTGTCTCTGTAATGACAATCTATACCAGACTGAACTATGTCTAGAATGATGCTGTACCTCCTCTTCAGACCCGCAGCACTCTACACTCTTGAAAGTCATAGTGACTTCCATAACTTATCCAGTATAATATTTACACATGAATCTGAAGTCTGTTTGCTACAAAGTTATGTCAACAACAGCAAAGTTGGAAAAATCAAAATTTAAGAGGTGGAGTTATTCTGTTCTTGGATGTCATATATAAATTTTCTGCAAAGACCTAGCGAGTCAGGAAGATGCTTATAGTTTATATTCCTGGAAACTTGTACCTCTGGGCTGGAGTGCTGCACCTGGATAAGGTTACAACTTTTCAGCATTCCAAAACCTTCTTTTTCTCCTCTTCTCTTTTGCTGGTGTTTTAAATTGCTAGCATCTCAAAAGTGCTCATCTCCAGCTTCACTTGTCCTGGAAATTCAATTCAAAAGATAATTCTACTGAAGAGCCAATGGAAGAGGAAACCAGTAATGCATCTTAGTGATCTATGGGTGTTTGAGCTGCTCAAGAATATTCAACCATAAGTCCTACCTGAATTAACAGATAAGGCCTGATTACAAGGGCTCTGGTGATAGGGCCTGTGTCCTATCAGAGAGGCAGAAGGTCTCAGGGACATTTTAGGAAGATAAGAGTTAGATTAACTACGAAGAGAAAATAAAGTATTGGTAAAATAACTAGATAGATAATATAAGATGGGCTATTAGTATACAAGTAATTGATGAAATGTTTATACTATTTTCCGTAAAGTGTACTATGGGGAATGGAGTAAGAAAGAGAATTATTTCAGTAACTCAGAAGTTGTGCTGGGGCTACTCATGTGGTGAGGCCATGATAAGAACCAGGAAAATTCTTTAGTCACCACTACAGGAAAGTGAGGGCTTCACTAAAAGGAAGTCCAGTGACACTCAGTCTCTGGGATACTTTAAGAACTGGTATGATTTTCATGCAAAAGAATGTAGAAAGCACAGGACAGTCTCTAAGTGTAACACTTGTTCCATACACTTGTGGAAGGTAGTCTGGTGCTAGCTCCTGCATCTCTCCTAGGGATGTCCCATACTCTTCTGGCCAAGGTACTCATGGGGAAAGCATTGCCTGTGCAGTATGTCTCTTGGTAATTTATAGAAAATATATTATTTTCTTGTGATTCTCTGTATTATGTGAGCAATGCCTTATCTTGCCATCAAGATAGAATTGCTTTCTATTTTTGGAAGTACAAGGCTGCTACAGGGACTGTTTTAAAGTGTTGCTCTACTCTGAGACCTGACTGGGACAGATATATCTCCCTTCCACTGAAGGTTAGTTACCCTCCTAGTTCATTTACTTTGTTGGCAACTCCAGCTGGTTGCCCTAAGGCACGAGGGAAGCACCTGTTCTATTTTATTGTGTTATTAAGCATATTTCTGCAACTGTTCTCATATTAAGTTTGTTCCACTATGACCTTCTTGAAAGGCTAAGTGCAACTAAGTGCAAGTAAGGGTTGCAGAATAGTCTTCAAAGACTCTTTAATGTTATATTTTTATCTCTGTCCTAAGATTAGCCAGTCATATCTATAAAGCTGTGATTTCTCTCTTTGATAAACAAGGTTCCTTAAGATTCTCAAACAGCTTAATAACATCTACGACAGAAACTCCTATTTATGGTGCTAATCAAAACCCTTCAGGGTCCCTACAGACCAAATACCTCAGTCTCTATCTCTATATACTTCCTAGCAAGTCTGTTTATTCACAGCCAGGGTCTCCAAGGTATCTTATAGACATATTCTTTATGAAGTTATTTTCACTTAGTTGTATTTTGTTAGAGCTCATAAAAAGGTCTACCAGTAAAGAAGTTGCTCTAGCTCACTTCACATAAACATAGTGATCCCTTAATTCCCACAATACCCTACCAGACTTTTAAATATTCCATTATTTATTTACTATTGATTAGATGATGGATTTTTTAAACCAAATTATCTCTTCTTACAGTTTCCATTATACCAGTTTCCTGTTGGTGATGACTTAAAAATGTGCATGATATGAGGTGGAATAATGAGCCTGCTGAAAAAAAATAAGGTCAGATTTCTTCTACGTAATAATATCATAGCAAAGATAAGATGTTAGATATCCTTCTTTGCTACTGTTTAAAATTAAGGCATGCATTGATCTCATTCAGGAATGCTGGATTTCCTGGAGACATATTGATAGTTTTCAGAGATAATTTCAAAGGTAGCATTCCAATAGCAACAACAAAATGTAACTAGTACCAACAGAGTCCAAAAATCCAAATTCTTCAAGCTGTGGTGAAATATTCAAAGCCTTTTTGATTGCTGAATTATCTGCTTGAGATGTGGCAAGCAAGTTACTGCTTCTTCTCCTGACAGTCAGATGGCATAATCAGAACCTACATGACATATTTGTCTGTCTTTTAACATTTTATCACATCGCTCTGTTCTTTCATCTAGAAACTAGTACTTGTCCTTCTATGCAAATGTATCTATCTATTCATTAGTCTGTCAGAAAGGCTATAAATATTAGATTGTTTTGAGGAGGCAGTGCCTATATTTGTCAAATGAAAACATTTTTCTCCTATTTTCTAGCACATGAACTGTGATGGATGCAGTTGTGTTCTGAGATGCATTAAAACCCACAAGTTATTTAGCTATTTTATCTGGTGGGTGCCTTGAAAGTGTGTCACACAAATTACCCAGCTGGAGAGAATTGAAGCCACAGTGAAAATCCAGTTATTATCTTCAAAAACATATGGACAGGAAAAAAAAATATTGACTTCATACAGCAGTTGAGACCCATCTTTTTAATGACTTTTTCAGTCATGCGTGCATATGAACTCAGTCGATGTATGAAGTACCCTGAATGATATTTCAATCCTTACATTTCATTGAAGATCTATTTTCTTTCTTGCCCTCATTGAAACCTCTCAGACTATCTGGTTACAAAATGTCTCAAAATATCCTCTGGCAGCCAAGTGAAAGCAGTAAAGTGGTTTTGTTTCTTTTGCCTCTTTTCCCAAGTGGAACCATTCTGAAATCCATCAAGCAGCATAATAACAACACGTTGTGCATACCCTGAAATAGAAGAGGTGTAAAACGATGTTGGTAACAAGAGTTATTATTAAAAGTGTCTGTCTTTTGTCAGATAGCTTTGGAAGAAGAGAGAGCCATTGCAAGAAATGATATCCACACTGATAACCACATGTCCATTTGTGCTCACACATGCACTTTTCAAAACACTACAGTGTACACTGACAGTCTGCAGAGGATCAGCTTCAAAAATTTCCTTTGAGTCATTTCTTAGCCTCCAGCAGTGTCTGGGAAAGGTGTTTCTGATCAAACTGAAATGTAAAACTGCAATACTATAAATAGTAGAAAGTTCTACTTGATGGAGAATATCTTTCTCCAATACTACATCAAATTCTTCTTGAAGAGAGTAAAATCAGTGAAATGGAAGCATTTCTTTTGTATTTTGTGTTAAATAATGTTGATAATTGCTTACTGTAATAATTTCTGCCTCAGCTAAGTATTGGTAGTGTCCTGAAAGGAAAATTTATTTTCATATTACATTAGATTTTTGTGGGGTTTTTTTAATAATATTTCTACTCTGGTCTGTAGTGAGTCATGTGTTTGCATACAACCTTTGTTGATTTCACTGGAAACAGTACCTTGGGTGACAAGTACTCAAAGTACTCCATCCTTCAAAGAGAAGGAGTCTTTCCTTTCTACATAGATTTCCTTGTTTGTAGGTTTCCAGTACTGTACCTCAATCTGGGTATCAGTTTTTCAGCTCATCCTTGCCCCAGTCCCTTCAAGCTCTACTACAGCAACAGAAAAGTAGGAACAAGGAATCTGTGTGCAGTTTGAGGGAGTTTGATGCCTGGATACTCTGGACATCCTAGGGCTGTATTTTCAAAGTAACTTGAATGATAACCACTACCAGGTTGTCCTCTTGAAGAACAGTTAAGGAGCAATCACTGCATCCTATATTCCACTGGTATTTGAATTTTCTTTTTCCAAGCATAGAATTCAGCTGCCTGCTCACAGGTCTTAGACATCTTTGTGCACCTGCCTGGGGTTGGAGAGGCATCTTTACAGTTGCTACCATTCCTCTGTGTGTCAAAGATGGTACTAAGCACTTGGGTCCTACCAACAGTGTCAAGAGTTATTTATGTCTCAGATATAGCTTTAATCCTAGACCTGAGATTTTCAGGGCCTGGTTGAGGCCATAGTTCAATTTTTCTTTCTTTTCATTAAGTCGGACAATGAATTCTATTCTAGAGTATCAAGGATTTGCAGTGGCATCTACCTATCATATGTATTATTATTACATGCTGTTTTCCTATTGCAAGGTTCCAAAATGGGGGGGATGAAGAATTCTGAAATTCATTGTATTCTTTTCTGCCAAGAAAAGGCAGTACATTATGATGGCTGTATTATTGCAGAATTAGGGAGAATAAAGCTACTTTAGAGAGGAGAATTGGTACATTCACTAAAGTGCTTACTAAATACCTGCATACTTCTGTTGTATGCTATTGAATACTAGCCTTGGTAGGATGGAGATATCTGCTTTCTTCCTGACAGAGGCACTGACAATGATTCCAGGCCACATGAGGTTGCATCTTTGGAGGAAAGAGTTTGAACTACTAGTGATCATTCTTCAGAGTTCTTTCTGATTTTGTATTGTCAAAATTGCTCCTTCCTATTTGCATGTACAAGGCCATATGTGCACAGGCAAAATGAGACAATTACATACACGACCACCAGACAAATTACCATTTGGAAGTGCAAATGTTGTGAGCACCAACAGAGTAGATGGTGGGGGACCTGTTTGGTATTTGGCTTGTAAGAGGCAGCTGGTGACAAGCTATTAACAAAGGAGAGTAACAGATTGGTTTTATTGGGAAAACAGGCTAGGCAGTTTTAGTGCTGCCATGTTTACCCACAGAAAGGAAATGACTGATATCAGATGCCAGAAATGTCTTATTCTGACTTTTATTCACATTCATTTTCTCTTTAAAGAAAAGGGAATAAAATTGTGGCTGTAGTAACAGTTAAATTAAAAAGTATTTAAAACAGAAAAGGTACTTCCCAGTACTTCTATCAGCCTTCTTTTGTTGTAGTTCTTCCTAAATCTGTGATTTCGAGTCTGTTTTTTTATTTCAGATAATAAGGAGTCTATACAGTAATTTTCACAACCCAGAAGGAAACATACCTTTTAAAAGAAAGATAGCAGCTAAATCTGTGAGTGAGGGTTAAATTATCAGGTTGAGTAAAGGATGGGAAATACTTAGCAGGCTGTGTAGATGAACCATTTTTGGACAAAGTCAAAGATTAAAAAGAGTTAAAGGAGTCCTAAATAAATAACACGGAGACAAGAACTATAAAATTTAACAAAAATAGCAATGTGATAGAGTAGGAGTTTAATGTGTGTTAGTGGTTCCAATAAACAGTTTAAATAACTAAGGCAACAGTAAATAAGGACGAGAAGCAGGAAATGGCAAAGCAAACAAGTTGAGTGGACAATCATTTCAGAGAGGCTGAATTAGTGTCATTCAAAGTAAGCATTCAGGATAATGCTGCTTCTATATTTCTCTTGGAGTAGAAAAGCATCAACAAAAGGCTGTGCCAAGGCTACAGCTTGACTCAAACATCAACTCTATATATCAGCCCTAAAAGAAGCCTTCAGCTGGATAAGTGCCTCTTTGGGGCAAGATTTCTTTCATGGACATCATGTTGGACACAGCACCCCATTTTATGGAGAACTGTTGGAGAACTGTTTAAACAGTTGAAAGTTATATAAAACACAGTAAGGTTTTTCAGCATTATCTTTTTCTAATACGTTTCTCTGTCTTCTTTTTGTGGTAACGCTAAAATTTCAGAAATTATAGGGACTGTGTTAGACTCCCTGATGCTAATAGAGTGTAAGCATGGAGATACCCTCCATTTACTATGAACAAAAGATTTTTGTAAGATAACAAAAAATATAGTTTAAAGCAGTTTTTTGTGGTGACATAAGCACGTAAAACAGCTGGATTTGAGCTGAATATACCCATCTGACTTTAGTGTTCATAGGGGCACCTATTCAAGGGTCATAGCTTGAATAACAGAAAACAAGTGCACCGTACTTAAGAGCCAGGAGCCTTTCCTGTCTCTTCTGTGACTGCCCAAAAGGCTGTGCTGAGCTACAAGGCTGCTGAAACCGGCAGTAAGAGGGCTGAAGTGGTCTGTACTTGGACATGGGAAGGCAGCTGAAGTGGCTGGAAAGTTGCTCAGTGGAAAAGGATCTGGGGATGTTGGTGTTGATGTTGGTTAACAGCCAGCTGATCATGAGTCAGCAGTGTGCCCATGTGGCCAAGAAGACCAATGACATCATGGCTTTTATCAAAAATAGTATGGCCAGCAGGACTAGGTAGTGATTGTCCCTTTATAGTTGGCACTGATGAGGCCGCAGCTTGAGTCCTGTGCTCAGTTCTGGGCCTTTCTCTACAAGAAAGACATAGATGTACTGGAGCATGTCCAGAGAAGTGCCGTGGAGCTGGTGAAGGGTCCTTTGAGCCCAAATCTTTTGAGGAACAGCCGAGGGAGCTGGAGTTGTTTAGTCTGGAAAAGAGGAGGCTCAGCTGAGACCTTACTGCTCTACAACTACCTGAAAGGAGGTTGTAGCCAGGTGGGGGTCAGGTCCTTCTCACAGGCAAATAGCAGCAGGACAAGAGGACAGGGCCTCCAGCTGTGCCAGGGGAGGTTCAGGTTGGACAGAATTTTTTCACAAAAAGGGTGGTTAAGCATTGGAATGGGCTGTCCAGGGAGGTGCTGGCGTCACCTTCCCTGAAAGTGTTCAGGAAACAACTGTATGTGGCACTTAGTGCTATGGCTTACTTGGCACAGTAGTGTTCAAAGGTTGGACTCAGTGATCTTGGAGGTCTTTTCCAACCTTAATGATCCTATGATTCTGTTCTATAATTCTATTCTACGATTCTAAGGACACAAACTCTGCTCCCCTGAGCTGCCTCTCTACTAACATACTTGTGGTGCAGCATATCAGGATACGAGTTTGTGGCATTCTCATGACAGGACAGAGTGTTTCCAAGTATGCCTGTCTAATAAATTCTGTTGAATCAGTATAGATAAAATTGGGATTAGTAAGAGACTGGGTTGCTGTGTGGTACTGGGAGGCATCCAGGCTCAGAGGTGTGGCTGTGGGTTTTCTAATGTATCCAAGCCAGCTTTCTGTCGACAGGTTGCAGTACCAAATAACAGAATACTTTCGGCTGCATGGATCTCATTGTGCAACACAGGCTTCTCACTGGACTGTTAAGACACACTTGGTTTAGCTTAAAGCAAGACTGAGCATGTCTCCAGGAGATGCAGTTACAACTCTGAAGAATAAACAGAAATGATTGCATAATGATGCAAAAATTCTAGAAAACAAGTGCTCTGATACTTTGAAAGCCAGTGAATGATCGCCCATACATGATGGTGGGAATATAAGTTAGGTGGCTGGGGAGGCTTCAGCACGGATAGTTATTTTTTCCTGAAGCAGAGGAGGGCAAATGCAGTTTGAGAAAGAGATACTGGTAGCTGCCATGGTCGTACAGTCAGATGTCCCATTTAGGGATATTGTGATACAATTACAAACAATATTTCTTTAGAATATAAGACATTTTTTTATACCTGAGAATTTCCAGACAAGATCTGTCTTTTTACATTTTAAAAAGTTTCTGCTTACAGACTATTCAAACAAAATTCTCTCAAAGAGAGAATCTGAATTACTGTTAGAGAACTATGAAGTTACTTGAGCTAAAACTATATCTTTTAAAATGTATCTAGAAGGAATACAACAGTCATTTTATTCAAAATTTGTGTTTTAGCTAGCTTTGAAGACTGGTTCATTAGTGATGTCATTGCAGTGGGTGATTCTTTGATACTGTTTACAGTTCAGAGTGATGAAACCACAGAGACTGATTTCCAAAGATAGGGTTTCATATTCAGGATATGGTCAGACTAGGCTGCTCCTTGTTTTGCAGTCAGAGTTCTCACTTTTAACCCATAGTATTTAAAATAATCTACTACAG